GGATCTTTTGATCACTGCGGTACTACAAAAGCCGTAATCGTATGTAAGGCCTCAAATCCACACCAAAAAATAGATTGCATAGTTTTTTTGACAAGGTTAGCCAGTGGGTAGTCACCAAAACATTGTCGGAATCAATAAACAGGTGCGATTACTTCTTTACTTATCAGTGATTTTCAGTAGTGTATAGATAAATAATCTGGACCAGAAGCAGAACTGACTGGAAATTTTCATTTGCAGGGCTCACTGGTTTACTAATTTGTATTGTATGGTAATGTATAATAATCCATGTTCATCTCATCTTCATCCAGTACCAAGAGAGCAACACGCGTCAAACAAGCACATCCAGAGATGCGCACAATTAACGTTTCCATTAAATTTGAATGTTTCATCTCGTTATAAGTTAATTTCTTTTTATTCTTTGGCCAATCAACTTTTGCTCCAGTGGTTCAGTTTTGGGTAGCCCGTTCGCGGTTGAGTGTAAATTTAGATGATGTAACTAAACAACCAACTCATACTTGACTGAGCAGCTTGCGAACAACGGAGAGAGTGTAAGCTATGTCATATTGCTTGATATATCTGAATATAAGGTTTGCGAATTTGAACTAGCACTAATACTTTCGAAAGTCGGGAATGAACAAGGATGAAACCTGTGATTTCAGGTTAAATAACCTCCAGAATATCAGCTTGAAATGTCTATAGAACGAGATCGCAATAAACTGATGGACGGTACACTTACCTCTTTTGGTCGAAATTTTTGATCGCTTGGAAGAAACGATTCCTCCTGCACGTTTGAACCCGGTACCATGGTAACTAGCATCCGTTTGAGTGCACTTATTCGTTGAGATCCTGGCCTCTCGTCCAGTTTACTTTGAGGCTGTTCATCGCCCAGATGTTCCGATACAGCTCGAATCAGACGTTGTAACCTGGGTTGTCTATGTTCCCGTTGTTTTTTGTGACTTGGCCAGCTGATCCGGCATCGACCGAGTTTACCATAGATTGCTTGCAAACGATGCTCAATCATTCTCGATGACTGATCCCAGTCAATCAAATTTGTGTGTAAGAGGCACAGATCTCCAGAAGCACAACCCATATTTGACTTTTTCAAGTCTGTTCTCGTCTTTCCAGATCCGCTGAATATGACCTGGTGTATGATTATCTGAAGATAATTTATCTTGCCGTCACACGCATTGACAGATCGATCACACTGAGTGGACTAGTCACGTGGTCTCTGGAATGAACATATAGGGAAGAGAAAGAAGACAGGTGAGAAATACGTTGTATGAGATATTCCAAAGCTAAAATACTCCCATGGAATAGATCAGTTGTTGACAAAGTGTTCTGTTAGTCTAGAATCCCTCGTGCAACCATTTTATTCAAGCTGCCAAAGAAACAAAAACAATTTCGTTGGCACGGGATTTGAAAACGGGAAGGTCTGTTTTTATGTCAACGACCGACCGGCATCAAAAAGCATATTTAAAGTGTTCTGTGGGTAACTCACTAAACAGTACGGGAAATTTAGTACAGATAGACAGTGTCATCGACGTAACTTTACCGACATAACTACACAACCGGCCCTACAACTTTCGAGCATTACGACCTCCTATTTTCTTAATACACAGTTTCGCATATGCGATGACTTACACCTGCTCATTGTCCGTTTATTAATTTCTTTGTTGCATTGTCAGACTGACTGGGGTTATTCATTTTTGGATATAACCCCTGCAGATCATATAATGTCTCTACCTTATGACCCGTTATCAATACTTATTTGCGCATGAGTACAACTGTAGAGAAATATTCCACTGAACTATTAGGGAGAGCCGATAGCTGGACCCCGAGACTTAAAGCGGAAAACGATACAAGGTTCCTATAGGTCCGGAGGGTCACGAGATAACCGTCAACTGATTGCAGTCTGACGATAAAACAATCGGCAGTGGATGGATTTGAGCATCCTACATCTAGGATGGTAGTTAAACGCTCTAAACCATTCGACCATAAATTTTGCTGAGTGATTTTATGAAAAACTGCTTTTTAGTCAAGAGTGCGCAGCTTTTTGTCATTACAACCACTCAGTTTCATTACATAGACACAGTCAAGTCAGCATTATTGCTATTCCTCAGAGTATCGAAGCCTAATTTCCGTCCACAGTAGCAATTATAAGACATGTAGGAGTTGTGGAACAAAGTGTTGCAAGCAATACTTCGATTTGCCGTCCGTTTGGTCCGTATTATTGTCGAAGTAACCACTTTATCAGCCGAACGAATGTTTTATGTCGAGTTCTTGGCACATCTAACAGTGTTCCTGTGCAAGATAAGTGGATCTGAAAGCTCGCCACCTTTTCATTTGTTGATCTTTTAAAGAACCAGATCAGCCTGAGGCCTGAGTCCATATCGTGGTGAGCATTGTTTCTGAATAACAACTTTGCTAAATTTGGGATGAGACCCAAAGGTCTTTTCCTTTGGGACAAACATGAAAATAAGCAATTCAAACGAAGGTTGATATGACCATCTGATTGGTCTAAATTGGTGCTTTTCGGATGCTACGTTAACACTTGTAGAACCTCCCTTTTTTCAGAAAGTTCGTTTTTACAGGCGCATTCATTTGATGCATTATTTTCGCAAAAATGTTATTGTCTTTGAAGGGTAGTATATTCAGAAAACCTCCCTCGTTAACAGTTAACTAGTTGATTTTCGGGGTGAGAAAATTATTAACCACTGAACGAGAGTCAATTGACACTCCGTTTTCACCAAGACCGTCATCAGCCTTGCTGGTTCTTGTTGTGAGATTATGGGTTCCCAAAAAATTAGGATGACTGAAATAAAACCTTACCGATCTGCGCACACATCTTAGTAGCACTGGTAAACTAATGATTCTCTCTTGTGGTGGTTGTCTACACATTTGTTTACCTATTTTGCATAGTAAAATTACGCGGTCACATCAGGCAATTCATCGTTTGTTCCACACAAAATCCAACTTTTACCGTTATTGTTTGCACTTTGCAAACCTAGTCCACTTGGAACATGATAGAATACCGCAAAAAGCTCAGTATGAGCATCTGGAAAATGTTGGTCCATCCTGTATACCCACTGAACAAGACGTTCATCCTTGCGAAACACTGATACCCATAGCTTTATACATTCAACACAGATGTAATTTGACGCAGATAATACGGCCTTCAACAACAGTCCAAATCAGATTGGCCCACAGAGAAGGCTTTCTCAACAACAAGGAGCAACGAAAACAAATCATCCTTGGGCCGTAATATTCATTTATTTTCTACCGTTTGCTTATGGAACCAGATCAAAAACCCACTAACCGTGAAAATTCCACTTCACCTTTTTCTGTAGTTTGTCTTCATTTGCAGTGACACTTGTTAAGGTAGATGGAGCCGCCAACTATCATATAAGAGCCAGAATAAACTTAAATAGGCTGATGAAATCTCTTAGGCAAGGCGTGTTTTATGGTCATCCTGAAGGAAATTCACTGTCTAATGGCAACAAACCAAACCGTTGATCAGATTTTGTAGTGCAGATCTCTCTTTACCTTGCTTTTTAGCATTGGGTAAATCAATACTAACTAAATGGAACAACAGATTTCTTGAGCCAAACAAGTATTGGCACCTCGAAGCAGTTTATGAGGGAGATAATTGAATTCATGGGCAGCTATATTATTGTTAGTATGGGAACCCCATGACATCTTTTGAGCTAGGTTTATGAAATTTTCTGATTTTGTGGTATAGATCGAACAGGTGCAAACGCACCCCCGCTGAAAACCACTGATCCTTGCTTATTTAAATAGCAAAAAATCGAAAGTCGAACTGTTTATTGTTGACTCAGGCTACTTTTGACGACGATGAAAGTTTTGACTGTATCTGTTTACGGAAAGTGTTACCGCTCTTTTATGAGTGCTTTCATAAGCAGATGATCATCTTTTTGGAGGTCCTCATGATTAAACTTTCAACCTTCTTCGTTAGCTCTTCCCTACGTGAGGTGGTAAAACGAAGGACCTTGATCAAGTTGTTTGTAAGAAACAATTCTTTAAAGTGGAAAGCAATAGTGGCTTTCCCGCTCTTTACTGTTCTTCGGTTTCAAGGGGGAAAATGAAAGAAACTGGCAAGTTGCTTACGGCCTCCCGAAACTCACAATTTGGAACAAGACATCTGGAAGGCAATACAGTGGCAGTATGTTGAGACTGAAGATAATTCCTCATGTCGAACACGGACAGAACAACGAGAGTATACGACTGTAATTTTGAAACTTGTGGCCTATTCTAGAAATAGGTTTGGTGAATTTCGCATCACAGACACTTGTGTATTGCATTGGTATCAAAGGAAACCATTGCCGATGCTTTCGGGCTCCGATTTCGTGATAAGTTCTTTTTAGACTGCATTCAACAAAATGGGGGTGCACTCATTGTCTTCTGAGCAGAGATCTCATTGGAGAGTGGATATATCTAATTTTAAAAACGAAATGTAGTAGAAAACTTGATAAGCTTGGGAGCAAACAGTGAAAAGCAATTGATACTTCAACGTATTTGGTAGTTGATCACTGAGGTTCAACTTGTCCTCCTTTTTAACCTGAGACGTTTATAGTCCTTGACAATAACCAACAAATACCTTTGAGGATAATTTTAAATTACCATGATTAGTAAAATCTCCAGGTGTAGTAGATTAGACAGCCACGTGCTGTTGGGAATCAAAGGTCAACCTCCAGATCAGCGGTGATTATTGATCGACTAAGTTCCTTTGATATGTTTCACCCCAGCCACATATGGCGTGCACTGTTCTCCAGCGACAATGGATTTTGATAATTGGTCGAAACGACCAATTTATGAGATAGCGAAAATGGAATGTTCCACTCGACACTAATTTAATATTCAAAACTTTGCCCCTCAACGGGCAATTCATCGAAACTAATTATTTAATATTCTGTATCCAATTGAATAGTGTGAACGAAATACTTGGTTTAGTGTACTTGTTGTTTATCATTTCGTCCCAACATTTATCGTTATCCGGAGGTATGAAACTTTACTGCTCAATCACCAATCAACCCTTTTTCGTCAAAGTAGGATCTCTTGAGTTTCCAGATATGGTCAGCAACATGCACATACTTCCTTCTTGCGTAAATGATGCCCGTCATCATGGCCCAGCCATGATGACCAACAGAAAACCAAGAGAAATCTTTTCTCCTCAAGGAAAATGAATTAAGAGTCAGCGGATTTATAACTACGTCAAACACCATGACCCAGTTATTCTTCACTCAGTTACGTATTCAACTCAGTGCACTTTGTTTGCCTCAGAGCAGGGAACGAACTATCGCTCAGTTTATTCGTCATGGTAGCCGTATATTTCCATACAGCACTTCTCTACAGACTCACCATTGTCAGGGTGAACATCGGCATGGTCGGGTGGTTTAGGTCGATCTGGATGTCACTTATATGTAGGTGAATGGGTGTGAACAATAATTTGTGTGACAGTGTTTTTAAGCTCACTTCTATGGAGTTATTATCAAACGTATATCCCATGACTTTGCCGGCATGGTCAAAATTCAAAGATTACGGACTTATGTTATCCACCAGCTGTCTCCAAGACTGCGACATTCGCCATAACTGTGTTTTTACCATAAGTTTATTACAATTCATTTCAAGCTTATGATTTGAAGTCAAATAAAATTTACCAATATTTCCAAAACTCTCCTAAGGTACTGTTATGACTCAACTGTTACGAGGCACAGAACACCCGATCGCTGAGTAGGTCTTTTGTATGAATGAACATGAGCGTGACATACAGGCATGTCTAACAAAGTCGATCTATAAAAGGAAATCGATACAAAATGAGCGATTGCGGTTTCGCGAATAACCGGACAGTACGAATACTGTTTCGTGTGAGCGTACGCGTACGCGGGCTTATGTGTGGGCGCGTAGGTGTGTGCATGCGCGTAGCATCAGCTAACGGTCCACTCAGTACTTGAACCGACACCTAATCGTACCTACCGGAGACTGCCTCAGTCACCGGGTCACATGAATTATGTCCAAGGTTGAGCTAAACGTCAATAACCGTTTACACAGTCATCACAGTTACGGTGCATTTTG